ACATATGCAACTGCAAGTGGTGCAAGGTGCGCTGGTCGCTGGGGTCGGGTCGAGTCGGGCCGAGTCGGGTTGGCGTTGCATTCGTCCATTAAAATGCGCTCCGGTGTCCAAAACACAAGCACAAAGGTGTGCTCAGAGCTCTGTTGCCTGCCAGCCCACCTGCCCGAGCCACGCTTATTTATTATTAACACAAAAAAGACCCCCAGGACGAATTGCAGTTGCGAGTGAGCGAACCAGCAAGCCAGTGCACAGCCTCCGGGCCTAGGGCCCTACTGCGCCCTCTCTCTCACCTCTGCCCCCCTCCCCCCACACCATTTGGTACGCGCAAGTGCGCTGAGTGGCTCATAATTCGTCGTCGTCGCTTCTCCACTGCAGAAATTCATCTGTTTGTGGTTCAAACACGTGCCGTGCCAGAAATAATGTGCGCCAGAATCAGCAACGACTAATGGGGCTACATAGCGCGCACTGCCCAGCCCTCCCCTCCCACTTTTTGGGGCTCAACTGCACACAAAAATGCTTTTCTTTTAACCTATGTGCTGCTGGAGTATATATATAGATCAGCTAATAGGTAAATGCATATTGCAATAGTTAACGGAAAGTGAGAGCTAAAGTAGGCACGATTGCCCCCAAATGTATGCTATGGAAAATGAGTTACTGCGGCGCTTGGATGGCTAAGAGATTCATGATAAAATATATACTCTGATGTAAAAAGTAAAAAAAAATTAGTACTCCATATGCAGTAGATGCAATTTTTAAATAGAAACTTTTAATATTTTTATTTTTATTGACTTGTTAATGGGGTTTATAAATTGGGAGGCAACTCTTGGAGTTTGGGAGATTTTCTAGACTCAGATGGCTATAACATATATATGAAAATTATATAGACAATTTAAAACGACTTACAATCATGAAAGAGTTACTTAGTTTAATTTATGTATAAATAATTAAAAATTAAATAATTTTAAAATAATTTAAAATATGTATAAATAATCTCAACTCTAAAAAATTTAATAGAATTGACTAATAATTATATATTTTACTATATTATATATATTTTACAAAATTAAGTTATGCAATTTAACTATGTTTTTTCTGTTGATTTCAAATTTGGTATTTCAAAGAAATTAATTTCTTTTTTTCTATATTTAGAATATAAAAAGTTTATTGTGTATTTAAATGCGTAAAAAAGAGTATATTATCGAAGCAAACGATATAATTGTATGGTCTCTATCAATATATTTTTTAATTACTCATTCACTTGTTTTGTTTATTTAAAGATTGTGTACATACATTACATAGTTGTTCGTTCGATACATTCTACTACCTCTTGAGAACCTTCAAAACGCGCAAATAATGTGTAAAACTTGAAAATTTATGGAAAGTTAATGCGCTCTTCAATTTAATTTGCTGCTTCAATTCAAATGGTCAGTGCTGGTCATTATTTGTTGTGGGTCCTAGTTTGGGTTGCTTGTCATCAGGAAGAGGAGAGCTTGCGCAGCAGGAAGGGAGTTATCCTTATGGCGGCACAGAGCACGGCAAACACTATGAAGCTGGCCCGAACTTCGTCCTTGGCGCGCATCTCGACCTGCGCCGGCTCGATTTGCTTAACGCGCATCATGGCTCAATGCTTCGAGGAGTAGAGATTGAGTAGATATATTCGATTTTTGCTATATATAGAGATGTGCCTGTGCTCACCTATTTACTTGAAACGCTTATCGCGATTTGGTTTAATTGAAATTTGGAAGTTTTCTTTTCGTTATTCGATTCTCAACAAACTGGCTCACATTTATATGCTTAGACAACATTTGACAAAACAGTCAAGGATAGCAAAGCTATGTGCTCAGATTTGGTAGAACTTAAGCTGACTTATAAAATACTTGTTTCATTATGGGAAATGAAAATATATATTTCCAATATTTACAATATGCCATAAACTGTTTGGTGTGGACTCTTTATAAATATGCTTGACTCGCCGAATTCCGATTCTGGTTTAGGGTCACAGGTAATGAGGGCTGATATTCTTCATAAGATATATTTCTCTTACTATCAGATCAAGAGAGCACGACTGTACGGTATCCTGGCGTGGCTGTAATCATACATTTTCAGAAATCAAATATAATCTTAAATCAAGTTTTCAATAGATTCAAAGCATATTGACTAAAATAATAAATGGGTGGGTTTCTTTACAATACAGATCTCAACTCTCTTAGCTTAGTCACAGTCTAACTAATATACAGAAATCACATTTCCATATATAAATGCAAGACAACTCTATCATTACAATCATAATTCCAGCAGGGAAAATCAAGTGCTTAAGGCCTTGGACTAGTTGAATTGAACTGAGGAAACTAACGAGCTGACCCACTCACAGGTGATGCAATTATGTTTGTGGTTCTTTCAAAAGCTGCGTTTAACTTCCACTTAAGTGTAATTTCGATAAACAACAGCCACAACAACAACAACAATAACAGCTACAACAACACCGAGTGCTTGGGCCTTAAGCTGCTGAAGGCTGACAAGGGGAATATAAATCAAATAAACAAACCTCATTAACATATTATCAGCATCAAATTGTGACACGGCCCGTCATTTTGGGTTCAAGTGAGAAATCTGTCACGAGGTATTAAATCGCTGAAGGCAGTCGACAAAGCCGCAAGACCAAGTCGATTTGACTTCTTCCAGCTGGTTAAGGTGGAGGCGCTAATGGAGATGGGATTCCCGGTATCCGGGACGAGCACACTCACACACACACACACACACGCACACCCCAGGATAATTATGCGTGTAAACAAGCGTGATGATAGTACGCTGACGTATGACGGCTCAAGGGTTGTGATTTAAATGGCAAAGCACCTTTCCTGAGCTGATGAAATGCCCAACTACTGCTCAACAAATTGCCGAAAATTCCTAAAGACGTTCGCGCCCTTCCGCCGTCAACAGCAGCAGCAGCAGCAGCAGCCGCTTGTTTTCCGGCTGATTTATTCGTGTTGTGTTTACGTGTGTGTGTGTGTGTTTGTGTTTGTGTGAGTTGGCAACAATTAGAAAAGTTACCGCAGGATGTGCGCACAACACACAGCAGCTCGCAGGAGCTCAGCCTGAGTCTGAGTCCTTGGTCTGCCTTCTCTGTTCTGGGCCGTTGCGCTGTGCGTTTTAATTTGACGAAAGACTGATGACATCTCATTAATATTCATTGCCGCTGCAAGGCGCTGGGATTTGTGGCCATATATCCTGTTTATGCCCGACTTTATTCATGGCGCCGCCAAATAGTTGCTCTAACCTCAGGCTGCTGCTGAAGGACCTTACTGCTCGGGCTGCTCCTGCGTGGGAGTCTTCAAGAGTTTTGATTCTAATGAACTGTTAAATACCTTTGACTTGACTGTGCAAGTGGAGGTGGACTAGAGCAGCGATTGGGTTGTCTACAAGTGAACCTAAGTAACTCTCAAGGATTTCCCTTTCGATTAGACTAGAGTATGGCAGGCAAACTAATAGCAACTTTAGTGGCCAACATAACTGCCGCCTTAGCCACTTAGCCACATCATCGTCATCTCGGCTGAGACATGCGAATGCCCATATATTTAGCATATTTAAAATCTAACCGTAATCCACTTTTGTTTAGCAGTTTATGGTCCGGCCCGCAATGCCCATAAGTATTTCAAATTAACGACGCCACTTCAAAATAATTATGAAGCACATGACGCCAGGCGAGGACAATGGGATGCTGAAGCCAACGATGCCGAAGATGCTGAGGATGCTGAAAAGCCGGAGCATTTAGCTCAGGCAGCAAACGGTGTGTGTACTTACCGCTGGCACTTTTAAGATGCTGCCGTGACATATTTATGAAGTTCAATTATCATAAAATGCAAATGAAATCGTCATGCCCGAAAACGTCAACGTAGACCCCATCCTGACCTCTGCCCGCCCCTGTGACCCGCTTCCGTAAGCCCAAGCAGCACACGCTGCAACCCCAAGGCGCAATAAAACAAAACAAGCCTAAGAGAGGCCAGGTAATGCTCCCTTCCTCTCCCCCTCCCCCCGCATGGGCCCAGGGGCTGAGACATGGCCAAAATTAAGCAATTTACTTGCGATATCCGCCAGCCACGCATACCGCATCCCGCATCCCGCACACCCCCCGAGCCAGCTGCTCCAACTGGGCGCGAGACATCCACAAAGACGCAGACGTCAGCCAGCGCTCCGTCTGTCTGTGTCTGTCCGTGTCTGAGTGTGTTTTGGGTGTGGTGAATTTTATCTGTCGACTGGCGCTATTAAAAGAAATTACGCTCAAAACTAAATTGCGGGCCAGCACAAAAGGTGCAACAGTGGAGAGCGGGGAGCCGGCTGCCGCCCCCCGCCCATTGAAATGAGAAACGATTATGTTGGGGGCCTGAGCCAGGCGAAGCATAAAGAAGCGCCGAAGAACAACAGAAGAGAACTTTTTAACTTGTTTGCGTGTTGCTATTTACAAGTCCTGTGGGACCTGGCGGAAAAGCGGGGCCGGAGTTGGGCTCGAATACGGTCACACAGGTAGCGCCAATGCCGCATTGCTGATGTTTGCGTTTTTCTTTTGCATTGTTTTTGCTTATTTTCTGTTCAGTTTCGGCATTTGGCGTTCGTCTCGTCTCTCACTTGTCGCCTTTGTTTTGGTTTCTCAGCTTGGCGTTAGTTTTTCGCGGGACATCTGCTCGAGCTGGAGTGAGTGAGGGAGAGAGAGAGAAAGGGACAGAGAGAGAGAGAGAGGGAGTAGGAGTATCGCTGCCCATATTATGGTAATTTAGTAGCGCAATTTTGCGGAAATTGATGCTGGACGAGCTCAAGGCTCGAGGCTCGATGGGTGGAGGTCATGCTGCTGGCCAGCATCTCTCCCTGCCCTGACTAATGTTTGTCTTTTTAATATGCATTTAAATGAAAACAAATTCAACAAATGAGAAAACCCTTTCTTTCATGTAAATACACAGAAAGACATTACGCATACGCCATGTCAATCTAGTAGGAATATACAAATATATAGAAAAAATATTGTTTTATTATTGCATTTAAATACAGTTCAATGGTTTAATGGACAGCAAATGCGATGAAGAACACAAAAATCTATATAAAAAAAAAAAATAAATAAATAAATAAAATAAAAATTATAAAAATCTTCGTAAATTAGGGAGGATGCAAATCGTGTCCTCTCTCTTACTCTTACTTCAAAGGCTTCTGATAAAGTACCTGCTATTGGGCTCTCTTTACACACATAGACTTATAAAGAATATTGAAATAAACATGCATACCCGTACTCTGCTCTCACTACGAGCAGCAAGTCTTCTAACACCGTTACAGACAGTTGTATGGCCAAGCTCCAAATACTTTGCACAGTTTGCTCTGAGTCTCGTAGCGCAGTGCATATTCCGTTATACAGATGGACGTAGAAGAAGACGGTCTGTTGAACCAGCTTCAGCAAGAGAGTTGTTGTCACCAAAACTAATGTGTCAAGAGGCAGAAAGAGGAGATCTCGCAATTGGGCCAAGACTATATTAACGGTTCTGCTGAACAATGAATTTAGTTTGTATAATGCAGACATTTTTTCTTAATTTTATTCTTTTCTTTTTTTTTTTTTTTTTTTTGTATGAATTTATTTTTTACCAAATATTTGTCGCCTACTATGATGAACTGTATAAACATAAAGACATAAAAATGTTATTTAAAAATTTCGTCATTTCATTTGTAATTTGTTTATTTATCGAAGCTCTTAAATATAAATAAAACAAATAATATTATTGTGTACAAATCATTTAAATTTATTTTATTATTTTCTTGTAGTTTTTGAGGTTTATCTGTAATTTATATCCAAACTGTCGCTGTCTAAGCAGTCTGGCAACATTTAATCGATTTGTTATCGAGCATCGATAGTCTACGATTTCAATATCGATGCTTTTCATTTAAGTGTTTTGAAAGTTCAACCGCTGTCAGTCAATTTTAATTTTCCCCATCAAAATGGCATCGAATAAAAATTATAGGCGAAATAAATCAATGAAAATGGAGGGAAAATCACAATGCATCAACTGGAGGACTATAAACTCGCATCATGAACAGAATAAGAGGATTAGGGACAAACTCGACACAAGAAGCAGGAGAAGAGAATCATTCCAACGACACCGACTGGAGGAGCTCTCGCTGCATCTGATGCAGCCTCGGATGCCAGATCTGCCCTATGTACGAAGGAGGAGCAGGCAGACAGAGCCTCAGCCCGTTGAGCTGGAAGATGGCGAGCTGTCTGACGAAGATGTTGAGATGCTGCCCATCTGCCGCTTCCATCTGGCAAACAACTGCACTCTGAGCAGCGGCTGCCGCCTCAGGCATTCGGGAGGCACTGATATGGGCAACTACGTCATGTTTGAGCCCGTTAAATTGCCGCTGCTGCCAATGCCGGGCATGTACGGCACATGTATGGAGGGGCTGTCGCCCGTGGCAGGCTGGATGCACGAGACGGAGCGGGAGAGCTCCTTTGATAGAAGTCTGAATAACTTTCGGCAGCTCATGCTGCAGTCTGGGCATAAAGTGGGCGGCCATTTGGCCAAGTGTGGAGACAACGAACAGTCTCTGACGGAGTTGAACGATTTGGATACAGATCCCTACTACACGCATCCCGAGCAGGCTGATGAACGTTCACCTCCGCGATCCCCGATGAACAGCTCAAGCCCGTACTACGATGACCTGTTACGGTGGCGTGGGCGCAATATGCTGGATTGGCAATCGAGCAGCAGCAGCAGGAGAAGCAGCATCAGTAGCAGCAGCTCGTCCGATTACTCCTCCACAACGAATTCGATGAGCTCCTCATCGCCCACGACACTGTGCTCAGACAATCCACTCAAACGCAAGCTGTACCGTAGGCAAAAGTGCCGCAGGTGGAACACTTACTTATCCTCGGACAGCGATTCGTCCAGCTATAGATCCAGCACACCCTCCTCTGAGCAGAGCTATTCCTCCTTGGACTTGAACATGGATAGCATCAATTCAAATTACCCGAACTCAATGAGAAGAATTAAAACAGATGCCGGACCTCCGTCGAAGAGTCGAAAAACTCTCTAAAGAAATAATTTATATGAATTAACAGCACATTTATTATTGGTTTTTGAAACTCCAGGAAAGTCCTTTGGAAATATTTTCATTCATTGAAAGTTGAGCAACCAACTTTAATATTTTGCCATAGCTTCATAAATATTTTTTTGATTAATTTAGTATTTTTTTTTTTTTTTTTTTAATTACACAAATTTATTTATTTATTTATTTTTTTTTCAACTAAGAATACTTTTAAATATGTACTGTATGTTACGTATATTAAATACGTACGTATTATACGTATTATTTTCTTACTAATAAATATAAATATAAAAAAAATTAATTTTTGGAATACTCTTAATGTTAATATTTTGTAAGCTTATATACATAAACTAGAATATTTGTGTAATATAAGAAATATCGAATAATAAATCTTCAATTACTTAAAGTCGATTCATATAGTTTTAAATCTATTTAACTAACTTAGTTACAGGTATTTATATATATGTATGTATACAATTACAGTGTAGTACCTGTAGGACTTGGGATTGATAAGTGTTCTTCCATCTTAAAACTCACATTGTCTTAGCACCCTTGTTAGCTAGAATCCGTATACAAGTAGTTAGTCGTAAGCCCTTCCTGGGCGTAACCACAAAATGTGCATTTCCCGGCAGTCACACACTGATTGCAATAAGTGTGCGTGCGTGCGTGCGTGCGAGCGTGTGTGTGTGTGTGTGTGTCTGGGTGTGGCTTCTGCTAATATCCTTGTTAATATTATTAAACATTATTTATGGATTTGTTTAATTTGTATTTAGTAACGCTTCGCATGCCAGCACCTTCCTGCCTTAGCCAGCAGCTGCCTCTACCGTTGCCTCTACCGTTGCGCAGAACTTAAGATCCCTGCCTGTGGTCGACTGCCTGGCGACTGGTGTTGCCTGCTGCAGTGCCGCCAGCTGGGCCAGCTGTCCGCATATCCTTGCCTTGGCGTCGCTGCTGTTGTTTGTTTAGCCCGCCATTGGTGCTTACTGTCGCGCCTTTGCCGTTGTCCTGGTGGAACAATTACATGGTTTTGCCTAATGAATTTATCTGCTCATCAGCATCTCCAGCTCTCTGTGTGCGTGAATCCTTGCCAGCTGTGGGTGGAGAGGGTAGCCAGAGTACATTTTATGTAGATTTCCTAACACAAATTATGTTCATTTGCCCGGCGTTGCATGTTCCTATCCCAGTAGCAGCAGCAGCAGCAGACACAGAGCTGCCTCCAAACTGAGTGAGAACTTTATGAAAAACCCGTTCTATGTTGACTTCATACTCATAGTAGCTGCAATATACATACATGTACAATATACATACATATACAGTATACATGTACACATCCCTGTCTGTTTGTATGTGTTAGTAGCCAGATGTTTCCGCTGAAAATTAGTGGTCATAAGTTTTAGAGATGGTAATGTATTAAAGATTATGGAAACTAGGCTTAATACCTATTAAAATATTTCACATCAAATTCGATAAATTATTAAGTAAAAATATATATTTTAAAATGTACTTAAATTTATGCACTGCACATATTTTTCAAGATTATAATATATTTACATTTATAACAAGATATAGAAATATATATACAAGTATATAAGTATAAAAAAACACATATTTAATTATATTTTTTTATTATTAATTTTCTATTAAATATATATAAATTTGTAAGTAAAATAAGAAATTAAATACCAATATTTTTAACAAAGTTAATTATTAAATTATATATTTTATATTTAAATATTGATTTCTATAAATGGATATCAAATTGTAATTGAAAAATAAATTTTCTTTTTTATTGTTAATAATTTTAAATATTTCTTTATGCATTTGAACATTTATATTATTTTCATTTATATTATTTATTATATTGAACCTATTTTTTATTTTATTTAGTATTTTTATTTATTTATTCTTAAATGAAAATTTTTATTTTTTTTTATCATTATTTACTTATTATTTTACTAATTTTTATTATTTTATGTAAGTTTTATATTTACTTATATTTTATTTATTATTATTTATTTATCTTTTTTTTTTTTTTTTTTTTTTTTTTGTTTTGGGAACGTGACACGCATTTTATTATTGTTCCCAGAGTTCCAGTTCTAGCAGAGACAACAAACCAAATTTGAGTTTGATTGGGGAACAATTTTATTAGAAACTTAATCGTGATTTGTGGGCAGCTTTGTTGCTTGGGCAACGAATTAATTTATAGATTAAGTTTGCATATGCAAATAATGAAAATGAGTTCGCATTTGGGCGAACCGAATTGGAACAGCCACATATAATATATACTTAAATACATAGATAGTTAAGCTAAAGTATTTTATTTATATATATTCTTCTATATTATTCATCATCGTCGTTGCTGTCGAAACGTTCGTTGGTCATTAAAATAGCATCGTCTAGGTAATGGTATATAACAATCAGAGCTATAATCAGAATTTGAAGCAGTAGCAGCTGCAAGCGAAGGTCATATGAAGAATAAAATATTTATATTATACGAGTAGCTAATTTCCATATTTACCAGAATGAAATTGGCCAAATTAAAGCGCCAAAATGACAAGAATCTGAAGCGAAAGGAATTGTGAAGAATATCGCGCATATTCTTGACAGTGCGACGCATGGGCTTGGCCACGGCAGTGCTCTGAGCCAGTCTTTCGCTGAGACACGTCCAGAAACGAAGGCGCTAAAAGTATATATGTATATATTAGGAGTAAATACTATGGGCATCAGTCCAATACACACCTGTTGCTCCAGCAGCGTTTGGGCCAGCAGCAAGCAGGCATAGTCGCAGCCAATGCAGGCGTAGATGCAGGCATTGCCCGCATAGAAGACGCGCTGCTGGCGATCGTTGAAGAGGATGTGCCAGGTGCTGCTGTAGTAGACATAGCTGTAGATGCCAAAGAGCAGGCAATTGCCATTGAAGCCCAGGAGTAGCAGCAGCGAGTGCTGCATGCACTCGAAGAAGTCGCTGAAGTGCTTGGCCAGCAGCTGCAGCTGCTCGCACTGGCTCAGCAGATTGTCCACGTGGGTGGGCGCTGCGGCTGGATCTGGGGCAGTGCTGCCACCGGCCACCAGCTGCAGCTCGGTGCGCACCTGGCTCAGGGACAGCAGCTCATCCACATCTGTTTGCAGCTGAGACAAGCGCTCACGCGTTAGCCAGGCGAAGATGTTGTAGAAGCGCAGGGCGCCAGCGAGCACCAGATGGGGGAGGAAGAGCGCGGTTCCTATCATAATGTCCTTGAGGGGCGGCAGTTTGAAGTCCATTTCGTAGCCAATGTACAGGCCAAAGCTGAGCAGCACAACGAACGTGGCGCCGAGCAGGGCATAGGCAATCAGTTCCTTCACAACACAGCGACGGCCGGGGGCGTTCGTCATGGGCAACGACACGGTCAACTCGTTGGCCACGCCCACAGCACGCACAGAGGCGAAGACGGCGTAGCTGAACACCTTGACACTGAGCAGCAGCTGCAGGCGCGTCAATCCGGACAGAAACGGGGAGACATCGAGCAACGTCTTCAGCATCGCGGAGTTCTGAAAATGCTGAGCGAAGCAGGCGGCATAGATGCAGGCCAGCACGAAGACATTGACCGCACCTGGGAGCGATATGCGATAGCGCTGCTGCTTGGAATCGAACCAGTGCATCTGGTAGCCCGTGAGCAGGAGTAGCACATTGGCGGATCGCAGCACGCGCAGATTATTCATGCTACGGCAGCTCAGTGTAACCGAACCGGAGCAGAGAGAACTTTTGACTGACTTCGGTGTGGCTCATGACACAATTTCAGGTCTTATCTCTGCAGCCAACTGTGACAAATATCCCAAAATATTCAAATACAACAATGGAACACAAGTCAAGCGTCAAGCCCCGCTCAAGCTCAATCATCATGAGCTTCTCTATGGATTGCTGTAGTGGGAATCTATTTTGGAGTGCTTACAAGTATGCATGTGTGTATATTTATAAATACGAAATATCATCATGATCAGGCACTGGGTACTGGTACTGGGAAAAATTAGATTTTAAATACTAAAGCTTTTTACAAAGTCAGTGAAAATGTTATTCTAATTAGCATGCCTGAATAGGCATACAAATATTTAACTAGCTGATGGCTATAACTTTGCTTGCTTTCACTCTATATTTTTGTCAGTATGATTTTGTACTATTTATGACGCTTCATTCCAAAAATAAGTTTTGCTTTTGTTTTAAAAGACATTAACTAGCAAAAATAGATGTGGTATCTATCAAAATTAATCGGAAGCTGAGTTCTAAATATGATATGGAGTAATCGCTGATACACATTATAATAATGGTAAATTAATTGAGAAATTTTTGTAGAAGAAAAAATCAAACCTACGAATAATATTTTGTAAGAATTCAAATATTCGATATAATTGATCTATAAAGAATGCGAGTTAAATGAAAATTAAATACAAATTTTGCTGCAATTATAATTTATTGTTATTATTATTATATACTTAACATTTTTATTTCAATTAAATTAACTTTTTAGAATAAATTTGTTTTCCTACTTAATGACAAACACAAACTGTACCAGATATGCTAGAAAAATCTTAGACAGGGCAAATAGATATGATGCGCTGCTGATGATTACTTAAGTGAAGAGCTAAGTAGCTATACAGGCGGCGACTTGAATGAGAATTACGTATAAAATGCCATTGTTTGGCCGTGGAGTCAACAGGTTAAGCGAATACACTAAGAAAAGTCATAAAGTTTCGGCAAAAAACAAAGAATCAACGGCAGCTCAGAAGAGCTGCAGCTGCAGCTGGGGTTGGAACTGGAGTTGAGGTTGGAGGTAGAAATTTCACATATTCCTAATTAGAATGTGTATGCAGCATGTCGAGTGCGGCATTTCTCAACATCAAACGCCTCGAGCTGGGCGTCCGTGAGCAAAGCCAAACAGTCGGCTAATGGGAATAGAACGCGTCTCCGCGGGGTCTGTCAACAGCAGATAGCGAACGGCTCTGATACAGCTACCTATTGTGGACTCTGACTCTAATTCAGTTTCAGCTGCAGGTGTGAGTGCGTCAGTGGGTGTGGGTGTGGGTGTGGCTGCAGGTGCTGCTCCAGTGTCAACATAGAAATTGGAAACAATTATAAAAGGCAGCGCCGACGTCTTACGTACTCAAATATTTGCCAGTTTGTAAAATCTTAGAAAATGCACCAGATTCCTCCCCCTCCCACTGCTCCATGCCTCATGTGCAATGTTTAAGCAGTCAACTGCTCCGCAAAGTGCAAACAAACTGAATGTGAAACACATGAAGATTCTAGACAAAGGCGTAATTATATGCGATAAGAAAATCATTTCAGACCTGACAGAATTTACATGAAATATAAAAATTTATATAAAAATAAAAATGTAAAACTTAGCTAAATGAATTTAATCATTTTTGTATAGAAAAGATTTTAAAGCAGAAGACAAAAAATAAATTTGTTAAGTATTAAGCAGAAGCCGAGTAAATTTTTGGTTGCTTGAAAGGCGGACGAAGTCCGTTTGGCGGGTTTACAATTATCAATCAGTATTAAAGCTTCGCACGGGTTCTGGGCGCTCGTTTGCAAGCCATAACTCTTGGCTGCCCACACATCCCAGGGAGAAGTGGAGGAGGCGGGGCTGTTTTACCTTTTTGGCTGGCGGCAAAGCCATAATTCAATAAATAAATGCAAGGATGACATGTGGACAGCGCCAACATATCGCATCGAATGCACTCAGATGCGCACGGCACAGGAGGAGGGGGGGATGGGGCGGCTGAATAGCTCGACGCATCCTACGAATGAATGAAGTAAAATTTACGATCGTCCATTCGTTAAGGAAAACAAAGGGAAACCCCAAAAAGAGGGCGTGGATGCGTGTGGGAGCGCGCGCGTGTGTGTGTGTGTGTGTGGGCTGTGATTATATGCAGTCTCGCGGAAAAGATGCCACAGCAAGTGGCGTATGGAATACGTTAAGCCCCGCTCACTCACTCGCTCACCCCAGCATCCTGCGAGCAGAGCCAATGCAAATCTATTAGCGTGTGTCCATTCGCACGGGGACATGCGTCAACTGCTGCTGGCACTGCTCCTGCAGGCGGCGCATGCACTCAGCAGCTCGGCCCTTGCACAGTCACGCAGCGCGCTTTGATGGCCATCAGTTCCGCTGGATGCAAAGAAAAAAAAGAAAAAAGAATTCGGGAACAGGTAACAGAAATGCAGTAGGGTTACTCAGAATTTGAGATACAAGAACAATACGGAAGAATAAAGCAAATGTGATACTGGAATTTGAAGAGGAAATAAATGAATGAACAGCATAGTTATTGTTGAATAAACTTATTTTTAAAATATTTTTAAGCCTAACATATAAATAATATTATATTAAAATACGATTTTTAAAATAACAAATATACATATAAATATACAGAAATATGATTAAATTTTTTTTAAGAATAAGGAAAATATATATATAAATATAATCGGTGGAGTTTTCGATTGCTAGAGTAGTTAAGATTAATTTAAAAATAATAATACCATTTAATTTCCAATTATAAGAATAATAATAGTATTTAATAATAATAATAATACAAGATTTTTATATTTGAAAAAATATTATTTTATTACTATTTTTACTATTTTTTTTTTTTATTAATTTTTTTAAATGGTCTACAAATTTTTACATAATTTATTTTTAATGAATTGTTACAAATGTGCTTCAAGCTGACCTTATGTTTATAGAGGGCATCTTAATAGGAATGAAGTGTAATGAGAGTTATAATGCAAACATAGTCCAATCAGTAGCTTTACTCATACCATATCAATTCAACCAAAAACTTCAGTTTTTCCACTTTGAGTACCCTTATTGTAAACATGCAAAATTTTATTGGGAAATGAGAGGTGGTTTTACCGTTACCCATTTGGCTATTAAATACGATGCTGACGATGATCCAGTTCCAGTTCCAGTTCCAGTGCCAGCTCCCAGCTCCCAGTTCCCAATGTCAGTCGCGTGGTAAGAAATTATGATGCATTTTTATGGATTTTCGATGTTTTTGCAGCGTGCAGTTTTTTGCCAAGGATTATGTTTCGTCAATGTAGGTGTGTGTGTGTGTGTGTGTGCGAGTGTGGGTGTCGTGGGGTAGGGTGTGCTGGGTTTTTTGTCAAATGTGAAGCATCCTGTGCGGGCCTCTAGCTGATGCTCTCATTGGTTTGTTTTCGTTGTTGCAGCCACTGATTTATGCTTCTTGACGGACGGTTTGCGCTTTCGGCTGGTTTCGGGCAATGCAAGTAGCCAGTTGGCACGCCCCCTCCGCCCCACCAACCATCAGCGCCCCCACATGGAGTGCAGCAAAAAATCAACGCGAGCGCAGGCAAAAAAATTTATGCATTTTCATTGATATGCAAAGCACTGCAATCGGTCGCATGGGCTCGGGCTGTGAAGGGCGGCAAAGGCAGAGGCAGAGGCAGCGACAGCGACAGCGGCCATCGAAGATGAAGAAGAGGCTGAACTTGTGTGCGCGTTTCCGTTTCCATTAGCAATGCAACCGAAGCGGGCGTATGTGAGTGAGTGAATGTGCGAATGTGTGTGTGTGTGTGTGTGTGTGTGTGTGGTGCGTACGCTGTTGGACATGTTTGGCGTATTGTCGAATTGCATAATATGCACTTTTTCATCGGGCATCCGCAGAAATTTACAGCCCTACACACATCGATTTATTGCCTGACAATTGTGCCGAATCCAGCGCAACAATGCGAATGGAAAATGTCGTCGAAGGCCAATGGATTTGTGTCCTGTTCAGTCGTCCAAATGGCGCCTGCTTCAGCTCCAGCTCCAGCCTGAGGCCTGAGCCAGAAGCCCCAAACTGAGGCTGAGTTATGAGTGCTGCTGCCCAGTCGATTGAATGGATTCTACATGCAATTGCTGTTGCTGTTGTTGCTGTTGTTGTTGTTGGTGTTGTTATTTTTTGGTCAAATTCCATCAACGAATTTCAATAACAATTTCCCTTGCTGGAAACGATCCGTTGTCCAACATCGCAGATATCCATCCATTGACACTCGCAATTCACGTGAAAAATAATGTTTTTAATATTGACAAACGTGAAAAATGTGAAAACAATGATCATAAATTTTTATTAACAACAACAGCAACAACAACATCAGCGAGATGCAGCTGCCAGTGCCAAATGCAGCTGCCAACTGGTCGCAAAAAGTAATCACTATTATGCCACGCCCCCTTTCGAGTGGAGGTTTTGCAGTACTTTTTGATGGACATTGATTGTTTATGTTTGTATTTATTGAATCATAGTTGGAAAAACTATTGAAATGCATTCAATGCATTCAAGTAATTAGAATAGATGGTAAAATTAACTACTACAATTTCTACTACTATTACTACTACTATTTCTACTACTATTTCTACTACTATTTCTACTACTATTACTACTATAATTACTACGATTCTTACTGCTACTACTACTACTATTACTGCGACTCTTACTATTGCTGTTCCTACTACTACTATTACTACTTCTAATACTACTATTACTAATTCTACTACTACGATTACTATTTCTACTACTGTTACTTCTATTACTACAACTATTATACTACTAGTACCTGTATTACGTACAACACGAAGAGAGTCCATTTGATTCATGTCAATATATTCTTCAAGATCTGACAAGAGCTAGTTGTAATGATGTGATTCGTTCTCTTCAAGAATATTCACAAACTTTGACATGTTAC